AATCGACCCATAGTCTATAATTCAAGGCAACATCACAGAGCAGATTGAGGTAGAAGAATATTTGCAGATATATATATGCTAGGAAAGAATACTGAACAGATGGCTAAGCATACAACAATTTGTTTTCATATTGATCGTTATTGATTGATGAGCATTTTAGGCTATTTAGAGATGGAACCGTGCTAAGGGAGTAGGAATGAGAGGTAAGATCCGGAGCGATTGAATGCACTTATAATTGCAAATTTGTTGCATTCAAAGGATGCGATGATCGCAAGCTTTGTAAGCTTTGTAGGCTACAGTAACCGTATCATTACCGTAGCTGTGTACAGCCAAATTAGCGACTTTGTGTTCACTATTGCAGATTTCCTAGGGCAACCGTTCAGATACATATGACAGGGATGACGCCGTTCTAAAATTATCATTTTTGTTAGAATATCAGGTGTATTAACCAGAACTTACCATATTTGTCCTCCTCCTCATTGTTCTCTTCCGCTGTTCCATCAATGATTATCCAGTCACTTTCCATCGCTATGCTATTTTTCATATAAGCACGAAGTTTTACTTTGTAGTCAATGTTGGCTCGGAGAATGCCATTGCAATACTGGAAAACAGCAATACTTGTGTGGTACAGTATAACTGCATGTAATACAGTACCGGTTCATCGAGACTTCGCCGCACACAGTCATCGCTGCCAATGGTGAAGGAAGCATTACGTATGTTCCGAGAAAATGGATTCCAATCAGAAGGTGAAGCCCTAAATAGTGGTGATCCAGCATTTGGCTTCTACCATACAATTGCAAGATTCCACTTATGAATTCACCTTAGATACTCTTTTGCAGTAGTTGCACACCCTTTGTTTAAAGTAACGAAAGGCATTTTCAGTAATTTAAATCTAGCAAACTATCCAAATTCTAGGTATTTTAACATTTCGGCACCTACCAAGGCAGACTACTGAAAATTTTCACAGCAGCATCAGTAAGTCCTTACAATTAGGTATAGAATTTAATATTAAACAAATGAGTCAAAGTGTTTTGTAGAGACTCAAGAATGTGCACTTTCTTATTAAAAACCTTAATTTCTGAAAAAGAAAGAATGTTTTCAAAGCAGGCCCGTCGCCCCGAAGAACATGTAATTCGTTTTAGATGAGTCCCTTTGAAAGAAGGTAATCTTAAATTTTTTTCTTAGGAACGCAGTTAAAGATTGTGAAACATTCAATGTGAAGAAACATGTCGCGAGTCGCTCAAAAATCATGCACTTGTTGAAAAAAAATGTTATTAAGATGAAATGGTACGCTATTCATTTCAATTTGGAAAATGATCTATTGTGAACACGCAAGCTTTTTTTTCAAACGCCGTAACAAGAAAATGCAAGTTCCTTTGCACTAATTACTTTCACTAGCAAAACATTACAAATATCATTTTTGAAACAAATTATGTTCTATTTTAACCATTCTTCCTAGACAATTTCTACTATCCAGAGATTGGAAATTTTTTACAGAGAGACATACCTGTAGGATCCCCAAGTTTCTTCTTCCCTGACCTCGAACCACGATTTCAGCTCATATTCGTCGTCATTAAGCTAAAGCAGAACTTGTTGGGTTTAAGATCTCTAAGTAAGTATTTTGGGAAAAAATTCTACAGTCGCTGCACAGGGCTAGGTTTTCATGCAAATTCTCATAAATTGCGTGTAGATTATACAGAAAATGGATTTGACCTAAGTATACTATATAATCATATGTGCCAAATGAAATTCGATTTCTGAGAAATTACTAGTCACCTCAGAGTCATCAGTGACTATCACGGCTATGTTGCTTATTTCACCATTTAGTGGAGAGAACACCTAAAACTTGAAAATGAAAACATGTTTGGTTTATTGGGCGAATTCTACCTACCTGCTGGTCATTTTCGAATGATACTTTCAGTTCTCGACTTCCTAACCGCATAAGTGAAGGTGTCAATCGTCCTGCAACCAATAAAATTGGCTTCACTTTTCTTTCAAAACCTTTTTTTTTGTTTGATATGCATTCTAGACACTCGCCTTTTGGAACATATACGGTAATCATTTCGCTTTCGCTTTCTGCTGCAGCTTTTCCTGTGCCCATGATTACCGTAATCGTGAAGGTGTAGTATACATCCGACT